TTTCAACGTTATAACGTGTAATTTTATTAATTTTGGGACATAGAAATTTAATACATCATAWACGAGTTATTTAGARGTTTCAAAATAKTACAAGATATATTGATTTTATTGTTTTTAGTTATCCATACCATCTTTATTTATCTTCAACGATTATCGGATGTAGTGCCTTACTCAAACAAATAACAACTAATTGGTCAGTTGGAAATACATCGGAATCGTATTTGTTTCCGTTATACTGTTTATTTATCGTACGTGCGAAGTATGGTATTTAGTTTTTGTATTATTGTTAGTCGTTAGATTAATTAAATAAAGTGTTAAAAATTCCAAATTTTAAACGATCGTATTCCTATCGGTTACGAATAGAATATATATGTGTGACTATAAAAAAATGTGGTAATTTTTAAAGACATTATCGAGTTAAAGGGTATATTTTTCGAAGCATTTGTTGATGTATTTTTTTTTTTTTTTTGCCACTTAAATATTCTCTAAGGACTTACAAATCAAAACTGAATATCATTAAGTACACCAGTGAAATCGCCAATCGTCGTCCCGCCGACTATCCCGATTATTTCAGTGGGAAATAATATATTAATTTTAGATATCCTACCTGRAGCATTGGCAGAAAAAAACACAGGAACCGTCCGAATATCCAGTTTTGGACGAGCAAAACCATCAGCGATATGGGCAGCACGGAAACGCACTCGACGATGCCCGTGACGGCTAAGTTGGCCACGTAAACGTAAACTGGGTCGGCCGCGTACAGCCGCTTCCTGGCCACAATGGCCAACACGTACGCGTTGCACAGGGCACCGGCCATGATRAGCGCGCTGTAACCGCACACGAACGCCGGGTAAGTGTGCCGGACGGACGGCCGCAGCTGTGGTCGGTTGAAGTCCGTCGTGTCGTTCCGGAAGCCCCGCAGGTAATCGACCACCACGTCCACCCATTTGTGCGGCAAATCGTCAAACTGGTTAGCGGATTTCAGCTCGTCCATCGCGATGCTGAATGGCCGTCTACTGTACGGGCTTCCTGTACACAACAKAATAATATAGGTAACGGTCACGTATTATTGCTCGTCAAATGTGCATTGCAATTCCGAAGATAACCTGAATCCGTGCAGTTATAATATTATAGACACTTTGCAAAGTCGCCAAGAAAAAATAAAGAGCATGGATGATTTGCACTACTGTAAGTATGGTTACAACATTCAATATGACGTTTGAACTATTTCGGGTAGAAAAAAACGTATGCACATTCAAGACTTTATAACTCGAATCTCAAGGAGAGTACGAATAAATTTGACTTGTGTATTGTTCGAGTTATTTACTCTTMGCATATCTTAAAATAACTTCAAGGGAAGGGACGAGGAAAAAAGTTAAGCCGTCAAARGATTCCTGATAAACGTGAAACATCAACATTAATTCTTTTGTATAGAAAAAATGCTTAAAAAGATGGTTTGTCAAAATTTGTTTATTAAAGATGGTATATGATCTTCATTGCTACACAAAAATTGGCGATAGAATATTACCAATTAATTTTCATCGTACAAACGATGAAGCGGCTTACAAACCAACAGACAGTAAGAACGGAATTGTATACATAAATGCTGGAGAGTTAATTGAAAATTAAAAAGGTAKAACAATAAGGTTAAGGTTGTCTACATCAAATTTCGTCAGGATAATATCATAAAGAGTAACGAGAACACAAACGTTTTATCAATGTAAACCCGGACAATTCAAAAATATTCTGCATGATTCACATATTATAYTATATTAAGGTAATAGAAACATAGGCACCGACTTTGTATTTATTTTATATTTTAATAGGTAGTCAATTGACAATTTTATGAACGACTAAACAATATACTAGGTACTTACTGATCATTTAAAAAAAAGTGATGTACAATTATTCAGTAAAACTTGATTTTCGTTGATAAAAATTGGTGGTAAGTCAAGAGGCATACTTTAATATCGTTCGGAGGAATTTATGTATAACTTTTTTGAATCCTATAATTCTTAGTTTATTGTTACACCGACATATCAGCGTGTCTATGTAAACCTAGACTAGAATTCTTCACGCTCTACACCTGTATGTAAACTCAGTTCTAATAAACTTCCTAATTAAATCCTAGATCCAAAGATAACAAAATACCTAWCCAAAAGTCAAAAATATCATACTAAATAATTTGATTTTGATAGTTTTGTTACTTCCCGACGGATTTTGACTTTTTCTCGAAGTTGAAATAAATATTACAGTTGAAAATCGATTTGTTTAAGTGTTTCAAATTTAATCTATAGTCATATGTGACATAACACAAGTCAATTCTCACGATGTTTTCAATAATTCTCGGAATTATGTATAATTTGACACATGACAAAATATGACATTTATGGTTTATATATACAGATATATACAAAGTGATCAATTTAACCTATGACAGTCATATACTTCCCTTATATAATTTTGAAACGTTATTTTTTATCATAATTTATAATTTTTCAAGTTTATTACTCTTTTGAATGACAACATGTCAACATGCATTATTAATTTCTAATTCCAAAGCAGTATAATATAATAATATTCGAAGTATTTATAGATATAAAGATACAATTTTGGACAAGTAAGTTATAAGTATTTTATTTTATTTTACTTATTGAATATACAGGCTGCCGGCTGGAGTCCTTTTGGAAAATATAGAATTTGTTCAACAGTTAAATATAACAATCCTATTAAAAAGTTCTAATTTAATATTTAATCAAGATAAGTATTGAGTAGTGTACCAAAATATAACAGRGTTACTATACCTATCTAAACTTATAACTCATAATCTACTCRTCCAAAATTCAAAGTTTATGTATTGAATAACTCCAAAAATTATTCTGCTGAGAAATAAAAATTAAAAATTCTCGTGTCATCAAAATAGAAAAAAATACGAAGAAAATATAGCGATAACAAATAAATTATAATTGTTTTTTACCGACTTAAAATAATGTGAATAAAATTTTTTTTATAGTTTTTTAGGTTTAATGGATCTCCCGTGGTAGATAATATGTTCAAATTTTATACTTTATATTTTTACTGACAAAACATTCCCGAGTGATAGATAMATATCATATCATACTAATCAATAAATATTAATATTGGCCCATACAAGTCAAGATCTTTATAGATCTTGCATACAAGTAATATTAAAAAACCAATAGGTAATATAATAAATCATATTACTTATCACTTATCAGGATTGTATTAAATTGTGTAATATAAGAATTACAGAAACATAAAAGTTTAATATAGGTACGATACTATTTTTGAGATCGGTCATCGAAAAATATTGTATACTTTTTATGGTTAAATAACTAACTAGTACAATAGTTTATTAAGTAAAGTCAGACTACGACACATAKAATTTAATTTTAATGTAAATAACAATTTAAATTATTAAATACCATTCATCTATGTGACTATATATGCATGATAAAAATTACGTATCTTTATTTTGATGCAAATTATAATAGTATATATACTCGTATTTACACTTTTGGTTTATTTTGCTGCTCTAGACAAAATACACCCGTGTCATGTCAAGGTTTGGGACTTGAGACAATGACATGATATTAATCAAATTATTGTGACATATAGAAATTAGAGTAAAACTTATCAGAGTGCAATTATAAATAGTAATATTTACAAGTACAATTTGTCTCTAACATTGCAAATACTGTAGATCATTCAATATTTTAAGAATTGTACTAGGTATGCATTAATTTTACACCCTCGCGGCCTCACTGATTGACTGATTTAAAATATTACCAACGAGTTTGATTTGACCGTAAACAATAATATTTTTTAAAGCATTTATAATTAATTATCGTCAGCCAGATTGATAAATGTAATTGAAAATTTATTTCACAAAAAATTATTTCTTCTCTTATGGACTGTAAATTATATACTAATAACAATTTAATTTTAATTTTTCTGTATTTTTTTTTTTT